CAAAACCAAGCTCACGATTTATCAAGCAGTTAAGATTCCCATTTTATTGTATGGAGCTAGGACATGGATAACATACAGGAGACACCTCAAGATGCTAGAGCAGTATCATCATTGCTGCCTGTGGAAGATTTTTTTTTATACAAATGTGCTAACATTTTTGCCCTCTTGCAAGTTAATACCAAGAGCATCAAGGAGATGACCATCTGACATCAACTTTGCCAGGTTGAGCATGTCATATAGATGTCCAATTCTAGACTTCTGGTCTTTCTCTCAGCTCAGTCATAGCATACTCTCAAGAGGAGGACAGAAAAAACACTTCAGGGATGTCCTCAAGACCAACATGAAGAAGTCTTGCTCAGGACTGCCTAACATGGTCTACTAGTCCTGATGAAGTGACAATGGCAACATCTTGGCTAAAATAGAAATATTATTATATGGAGTGTAAGGGTAATTTTTTTCTATTTATTGTCAAAAGGTCTGAATCCTTCCAGTATGCACTACACATTCTGATAAACAACAAATTAGTCTTGAATATATCTTTATTCAGGTATATTAACCTTTTTTCTAAATTTCCATGTAGTTAATCACACCAATGTGAATGAATTGTGTCACGGTTAAAAATGTGTTAATCCTTTTACATGGGTAAAATCTAACCATTGCAATCTTTGTCCTTGAGTCTCAAGCTAGTGTGTGCTTTTGTATGAACTTCTTAGAATGTAGCCTATTCAAACAAACAGTGCAGAAACCTGTACAACTTGACTGGCTTAAGATTGCATGTAGAACATTGATCGAAGTATTTAACCTGTTACTTGTGAGATACCCGATTTTCTTTATTTCACTTACATACTTAAGTTGGGTATTTACATAATTATATCTGCAGGTGGGTCAGCAGTAAGTTTATGGACATCTACAATGCTGAAATTTGTGGTGAGATTCCCATGATGGACAGAACACAGATAGCCTATTGAGTAACTCTGTACTATAAACAACAACCATAGTTGTCCCTTGCTCTTTATGACATGACTCAAACAGCCAGATGACACAGAAGCAGCAGCCTGACCAGTTTAGATAATATAGAATTTTGTTTAAAATTTCATTTTTCAAACTACATGTTTGCTTACTTGTTTTCTTTACTGTCAATGTTAATTGTATTTATATCTTTGCCTAAATTCCAAGTTACTGTGATATGATTATCATGGTAATAATTTTCATTATTGTTTTTCAGTTTTCTAAATCAACTGTAGATTAATTTCAATGAATCCATTATTTTATGTGGCACTAATTGATGTAACTTTTATTGAATTAATTGCTCAGTTCACTTATAATTCAGAAAATTTGCAAGAATCTTGCTGAGAAACAATTGTTTGTTGTGCACATTAAATATTGTAACTGCTTTTAAGGTTACAAACAACAGTGCATAATCTATACTAAACTGTGAAAATGTATTGCATTCTATATGGTGTAGATAAGTGGTGTGTGGTATTCAAGTAGAGACCAGTAGAGCATATCCACTGTAAATATGTAATAGTTTGGATTACCATAGTCTGAGCTACAGAAGGTGAAAAATCTCTAAACTATCACTCCTGTTAATAAAACACAGTGTCCCCTGCATTCTATATGGTGTAGATAAGTGGTGTGTGATATTCAAGTAGAGTCCAGTAGAGCATATCCACTGTAAATATGTAATAGTTTGGATTACCATAGTCTGAGCTACAGAAGGTGAAAAATCGCTATCACTCCTGTTAATAAAACAGTGTCCCCTTCAGGTTGTTTCTTTGGCCACGAGACACATCACTGTGTGTCTTGATAAGGACAGCAAAAAACAACAACAAACAAAACACAAGTGTACAGACAAATTCTTTATTTACCAAAGAGTATATACTTTTTACCAACTGAATACTGGAATAAAGAAGAGACTTTCCTACAATGTCCACATAATAGTTCAATAGTACAAAAATAAAATCAATTAATAATTAAAAGGCTAACTAAAAAGAAAACAAACATAAACTGATGGTCAAAAAATTTTATTTAATAAAGTTCAATATTACTAAGCACAAAACCTAAGAGCTTCTGGGTCCCCTTACATGTATATATATAATAATGAAAATTAAAAATATTTTTAATTCATTCTGAATAAATATTTACATTATTAAAATTCTAAACCCTTTCTAACTTATTTTTATAACCCTATGTATAACATACTTTATGTCTATAGGCATATATTCCTAATGGTGTGTAAGATTTCAACAAATATTTTGCAGTTCCATGGAGTGAAAATGGTTAGGAACCACTAGTTAGAAACTGAGGTTCTATTAACATGCTTCTTAGTGTTGTTATTTTAAAATCAATTTCTACAAGTGCTGTATTAAAGGTAAAATATACGGTCATCAGTTTCATAAATAATTTATTCAATAAATATACATATATTTCAGAAATTATGAAATATATTATAACACCATGTCATCAGGTTTAAAGCAACACCAAGTTGTTACACTTAGAAAAAGGACATCATTTCTATGATATTTTGTTGAGTATATCAGATCAGACTAACTTACATTTAGAGTGACTGTTGAATGTTAGTTTGCCTGTAACAGTGATGAACACTGGTAGAACAACAGTCCAATAAGCAAAGTTTGAAAGTAATATTGTAGGTACAATAGTATATTAAAATTTATATAGGGTGCTACTAACTTGTATATGTTAATAGCCTAGTAATTTTTATTGGCAGTTGCAGATATGAGCTCTTAACTCCCATTAAGATAATGTTCAAAATCATGGATGATAATAATTAGATAGTAATTTTAAAAAATGAGAATGTGCATGTATAGGCTATTAATCATGACAACGACTGGATTATGACTAACTCAACTTTCTTTCTGACTTTATATTGTACCTGAATAACAAAGAACACAGCAGTAACATTTTTCAACTTGAATTTGCAAGTTATTCATTCACTCTTTTTATAGAATGTTTTGTGGCAAACTGGATTAATGTCACAAGTGGGGTACTTCAGGGCTCAGTCTTAAGGCCTTTGCTCTTTTTTGATTTACATCAATGACATAGATGAAGGAATAGTCAATAAATTATATAATTTTGCTGTTGATATTAAGGTCTTGAGTGTTGCTAGCTGTGAAGAGGATGCTGCTGCTTTACAAAATAATTTAAATCATTTAGAGTTGGGCAAATAAATGGCAGATGGGTATTAATTATAATAAATGCATGATAATGCATATGGTTATCATAAATTGAATAATAAGCATAATTTGGATGGGAATAACCTTAACAGTGTAATGAAAGAAAGGGATCTTGATATAATTGTTGATCTGTCTCTTAAGTCATCCAAGAAGTGTGCTGTTGCTAATGGTAGGGCAAATAGGATTTTAGGTTGTATCTACAGAAATACTGAATACAAGTCTAAAAAGTCATAATTACATTGTATAGGTCACTGGTTAGGCCACATTTGGGGTAATGTATTCAGTCTTGGGCTTTTAACCCTAGGAAGAACATTGAATTATTGGAAAGGGTTCAGGGGAGGGTTACTAAAATGGTTGCTGGGATGGGATGGGTGGGTGGAATGTCACACGAGAAGAGGTTAAAATCTCCAAAATTTTTCTGTGTTGAAAAAAGAAGAGTGAGATGGGATCTGATTGAGGTGTTTAATATCGTAAAGGAATTTATAGTATTGATACATCATCTTTGTTCATTCCTAATGGCAAGAATAGTAGGACTTAGCAGACACAAGTATAAATTTTGGCAAGGTAGGAGTCATCTTCAGCTAATACAGTTTTTATTTTTCTAACAGGGTGGTTGGAATAGGTTGCTTTTTAATGTTGTGGAGGCAGTAAATTAAAGTGAGTTTAAGAGAAAGCTTGATAACTATAGGAATGATAAGGGCTGTCTTTAAGATTTTTTTTAATATTTATTTATTTAACAGATTTAGTTTAATTTAGAGGATGGGACAGCTGAGATGGACCAACAGGTTCCTTGTTGCCCCTAAAAATTATGCTGTTATTACTGATGTGATTACCAAAGCAGTCTCTATAAAGAGAATATCAAAAATAAATAGGAATACTACTTATTCTTATACACATTCTACTGTTCCTACAGCTTCTGTTTATGCCCTAACATAAAAATAAGGAACATGGTTGAGCTTTAGCATCACTATGAGGTACATGTGCTGTCCTACCTTAATTTATTTTGATGTTTCTCACAATAAAATGGGTTTTTAGCAGACCTACTGTGATAACTCAAACCATAAGTGGACATCACAAGAGACTGTTAAAAATTTAACATGGGTTTTTTGCAACCAGCTACATCTTTGGTGGACTTATTTTTTGTTACATGATTTTACTTGACTAAAGGAAACTGGTGGTGGGGAAAAAATTAAACAAAAGTCATATTACATATTTTTTGAAATAACCAGGGTTCCATATTAAGTTACTTTTCAATAATCAACATTACTAGCTTCGACGAAATCCCTAACTTCTTGTATGACAAGAATAAACTGGGTAAATGTTTACTACATCTGTCATATTTAGCTTGATGATAAAAACAAAGACAGAGATATAAAGAAACTTGTTATATTAATTTTTATTTTAGAAATAATTGTCTATATGTTATACTAATATACATATATACATATATACGACACACAAAAAATAATATATACATAATGAGCATCTCATTTATTCAACACATTAATTTTCAGAGTAAGTTCTGTAGTTTATGGTCTAATTTCTTTTGAATGTTAAAACATTAACTTGATTATCTCATATTATTTCTACTAAAGCATTACAGTGTATTATTAAAGATATATAATGAGAATTAATTACAAAAGGGAACATTGTTAGAATGGTTTAGTTATTTACATTTCTGATGTGTATCCTTAAGTACAAATTTTTGGTAACAAAGTTACTATCAATATTGCTGGTAAAATATTCTTTTTAATCTTTCAAATAACATTAAATTTTTTAAACAAAAAAATTTACCAAAAGGTCTTGACATAAAGAAAAAAATAGTAATATTTTTCATAAAATATCTTTCTCTCACTATATACAATGTATAATATTGGAATATTGCAATTAGAAATTATTGTGAACCACAAAACCAAAAATATATTTCTTCCTTCAAGCTACTTATAGATAATGGTTTTATTTTTAAGTATTCTTTACAGGTATTTTAATATCTTGTTATCCAAGATTGTGAAAAGTCTGTGGATGTAATTTTTTTTCACAATGCCTGTTTATATCTAAGGTAAATCCAAAATATTATACTCTTCATACAAATTCTGGGTTACATCATAAACTGCAACAGCAACTTCTTGTAACTGTTTCATCAAGACACAAATATCTTGTGGTGGCTGCTGATCACAAATTTTTTCCAAAAGCTGTTGTTTTCTTGGTAGTGTGTACATAGCTAAAAGGGCTGCATTTTGAATCAACCAAGGATGGAACTTTGCCAGTGTTTTGTTGGAGCATTCTTGAGCAGCAGTAGATGTTTTACCATCACTATCAAGGGTACTTATAGTTCCAATGAAAGCTGCAATAAACTCCAGGGCACGATGAAGCCGTAGAAGTGTTCTTGCTCCAGACGGACGTTTAGGATCCCTCAGAAGGTTGTTAGTATTTTCATACGTAATCATGGCTTGAATGGTCATGTAGTGTTCCCCTATTTCAGAGTTTAAATAGCCTTCCAAAATGGTAATTTTGCTAAGAACATCAGATGCAACAAAAGAAAACACAGAACCTAAAAACCCAAAAAACCTGAAACAAAAAATTAACAATGGTAAGTGCACTGTTATCATAGGATAATACACACCATATTGATTTCCAAGTTTAAATATAAGTACAGTATTGTCAAGACCACTAAAAATTGTTAGTTTTGGATTAAATACTGCAAAGCATTATTTAACCTGAAGTAGAGGGGGAAAGATGATTCCAGCGCAGATATGAAGCATTTGGATATCTTTGAGGGAATTTTACAATTGCTTCAGTATTTCTGATGTTCAAGAGTTAAGAAAGAAGCTACAGAATTTCTACATATATGTAGAAATGGCATAAGTAAGGATGCCTGTATTATGAAATTAGGTCAAGAACTAGGCAAAGACCAGTTAACTGGTTAGTTAGTATTGAGAGTTAAGAGTTATAAAAAATGAAGCTACAGCAAGGATGCTGAGAAAAATGCTAGTCACAAGTTTGACAGCGATAAGTTACTGACGCTGAGTTAGTAGCACTTTAAAGGCTACTGAAAAGTTTATGATAGCATCTCAAATCAGAGCTTTGATGTGAGATATGTTACGTCAGACCAGTGTAGTAGTACAAGTAAAAAGGCAACTGGAGCACTCACCATCATAGTAACCAATTACTTGAGAGTTTTGGTTCTTGCTTTGAAAAAGCCCAATGAGTTGCAGAAATTAGCCAATAAAGTATCAGGACTACTTGAGGGTAGTCAGGAATACTATTTGGAAAATCGAATAATAATTAATAGTGTTTAACTGAAAAGTGAAAATTAGAATTGTAAGAAACTAACGGTTTATTAAATGTTTAATTATTGATGTTAAAAGTATATACTATGTGGAAAGACTTAATAAATGTTGATGTATTTTGTGTAATGTCAGTCTTGGAATCTGTTTCTTTATTCTAACTGTAAATTACCTCGAGTTAGCGACTTGTGAGTGCCACTCGCCACTGCAATCCTCAACTAAATAAATTTGGTATAATTGGCAGTATAGTCAAAACTCCAACAACTAGCCCTAAGGGCATTGTCTGTTAGATATAAGAAGCATTGGAATAGTTCTATCACTGTCTGTAGTGGTAAGTATTATTATTTTAAGGTTAGTCCCTGATTGAGAGATTAAAAGCTAATTCAAACAGAAGCATGGCACACCAAAGGTTAAAGATATAAAATGTAAAAATGCTCTGGCTGTCATATAAATTTGCACTTATCTTACTGTATATTTGTCCACACCAAGTAGTTAACTCCCTGAGTGATGAATGCAAAAAATTTTTATACACATATTCCTTTGCACCTGGTCAATTCTTGTGTGACAAAAAACTTCCTCCATTACCTTGTTTCCAGTTAAAAAACAACAACAAAAACAAACACTTAAATGTGTATGCTTTATGTTCCGTAATCTGCCATAATGCTTCAAATATTAATCACATACCTACTTAGTGGAACATGCTATCTTAATAATGTGGCTATTTTCAGTCATTCTGTTTACAAAAGAGATATGTATTAAAACAGTAAATTACAATAACCTTTACCTAAGTTTGGGTAATTGCTAGAAAAGTTAACACCTTACTTTTCTGTTCAGATACATTTTTTATTGCTAATAATAATTACCTTTGAAAAAAACAAATACAGTTGTACAGTTCAATAAGTTTTAATGGCTACAAGACAGCTGATCTACAAACATTGTTAAAAAGAAAGGTAATAAATAAATCTCTGAAAACAAAATTGTAATTCTGAGATGTTATTATCAGCACTCTCACCACATTTTTTTTGTCTTGTTACATTTATCTAGTGTAGTGTTACTGTGGTTTTATCTGGTTAAACTGATTTCCTCAAAAGAAATTAGGCATGGATGCAGAATAAATCAAAAATGTTACCATCTTCCTTACCTGAAAATATATTTGCAATAGATACTTATCTCTCTGCATTCAGTAGCTTTTCCTTGCATGCCTACCTTTAAGATTTTGTGCATGCCACTGGTTTTGAGCTCTGTCCCACCTGAAATGTGTTTTAATGTGAACTGTGCTAGTGCATGATGTAATCATCATGCAACAATAGCCCTTCATCAATAAGAGGGTGACACATCCTCCATGCACAGTAGATTCCCATAAGTACTTGCACTTGAAATTAACTTCATTCTTATCCTTGGCATTGCCTATAATGGATGTGTTTCTTTAAACTTAAACTTAATTTTGTGAGATTTGTGCTGCCTTTTGATAGTGTTATTTTTCTTTGGTTTCCTTTTAGTTTTAATTTTGATTTCAAGCTACATCAACACATACGAGTTCATTTTGATATGTTCCTGGATCAGCTTAGTTCCCACTTTTAAATGCCTCTTCTTCCTCGACTTCATGAGTCTTTTTGCCATGGCTTATAGCTGTTCCCCTTTTCTATTCTTGGACTCCCAATCCCTGGAGTCTCTTCCACCTACTTTGGGGACTGACCCTCTGCCTCCAATAAAACTATCTAGTGCTCAATTTTCCTGTCTTTGCATTTCTTTTTACCTTATCTCCTTTGTTACCTATCCTCTCTTCATCTTCTACTTGTAGCCTTACACCATGATACTGTTAGATTATTCTGGTTACTTGGTTCCTCTGGTTCTGAAGATTATGGTCTTCTCTCTGTCATTTGTCTTCCCCAAAACAGAAAATTCTAATTTTCCTTCTTATAACTCTACTTGCCCACTCCCCATCCCACACACAAAAAAGTAGTAGGCTATATTTCTATATCCTATATAGGATATCTTTTATAGGATTTTGTTTATATTTAACAGTGGACATAAACAATCAATTTGTGTTTAATAACAATTTTTGGTTCATGAAATAAAAAACAAGTAATTTGGTTAAACATATTTAGCAAAACTGAATACTTCTAATTTGTTTTTAAAGCAGTATGAAAATAATAATTATAAAGAGGATCCAAATTATGTCAGACCTTATGCACGAAGAAATTTAAAAAGAATGTAGCCTTTTACATATGCGGTGCCACTAGAAGTAGCCAATATTTTATAGCTCTGCTGGTGCCATACTCCTCAAATTAGGCTTTTTAAGAAACAAAATCTTACAAAATGTTCTGATAAAAACATCACTTAAGGAGTTCTTGATGACATTTTGTCTCTGCTGTTGATACATTAAATGTGAGCATCATCTCCACCAGCTTCAAGATATTGCAAAGAGTGGGGGGGGGGGGCTTCCTTGACAGAATGACAGTCCATGTAGAAAGAACCGGTATTCCACTGAAACTATTCATTTGTGCTTTAAATCTATTAAACTTCTCCACTATTACTGTCTTCTTTTCTTTGGTGAAAAGGACATCAAGATGGATTAGGATTTATTCAACGTCAGTATTGCCATATGATCTGAGATTATCATTATTTTCTGGCCATAATATGTATAAACCTGGAAACCCTGGGCTGGTATGCAGTTGTAGTTTGAAAACCTATGATTAATGCATTTGACCAAGTTGTCAGTATGTCCTGTATCACTTGTCAAATTGGTTGCTGTGTCATATTTGCTTTGTTATATTTTATATCTATGGGAGCAGAAGTTTGGCACAGAAATAGTCAAGTTGTTAAATAGAATGGCAGATTACCATGTCCTTTAAAATAAAATTTTAAATATTCTTCTTCACTAGGATTCCTAATGATAAATATACCATCACTTAAAGTAAACCATCACTTTTTTTTTGTTTCATTATATTGAAGTTAGTGACTGTGGCCTGTCTTTTTACAACAGATCAAAACTTAGCTAACTGATTTCACACCTTTGCCTAAAATAATAAAAAAATCTGGGATTCACACATTGAAAAAGTGAATTGAATGAATTGACAAACCAACTGTTTGCATTATTTCTATAAATTTAGATATATAATATCTACATTAAATGCAATATTTTTGCAGATGCCACAGAAAGGTAGTATACACAGGTGCAGTTTTTTTTTTAAATTTAGTAAAATGACAATATGTAAGTATTAAATGTGAGTCATAAGATGAGAAAAACTAAAACACTGATTTCTTTATTCACTGTCTGTTGCCTGCTGTTTTAGATTTTCTTACCATGTTAAATGGATAAAGCAGATGTGTGTGAGTATTAACAATCATACTTAAATTATACTGGACAGCAGAAAAATTTGCTACTGGAGAAAATTCAAGTGATTCAGAGTAATTTGACAGTGCTGATTTCAAAATTGTTGTCAGAATTTGTCCATCACCTATATATTTTGAGTTATTGTAATATCTCAATATTTTATCAGCACTATATGAAATACCATGCAATCAACTCAGTACAGTAGATTTATGCAGTGAAATTAAGTTCACTTGGACAGTTTAATGGGAAAAAGATATACATTTTTGATAACTTCAAACACTGACTGTATTATATTGATGTAAAATTCCAAATATATTGTTCATATGTACTATTTGTTCTTCATATAATTGTAGCACATTGCACCACTTTTGCTTCATTCCCACACTCACCTGCTCTGCCTGGGAATCACATAACTTTTATGTGTTAAGTTTGCTAGAACATTCAAGAAGTCCCTCGACTGAGCATAAAAGGGGTGGAGTCAGACATCTCTCTCTCAGTTGCCTCTCACACGCTTGGTCACTTCTCCTCGCTCCGCACATAGTTAAAAAAAAGTCTGAACAGTTTCCTCACATCATACCCACGATATAATCAAATTCTGCAAAAACTTTGTTTTTTAAAATCTTTTAAACTCTAGTTCTGTAAACTTAAATTCTTTTATATTTTTTAGAAAATCATTTGAAATACTGGCTGCTTCCAGTTCAAAGTCCAGTTTAAAGTCCAAAAGTGCAAAAATCACCCAGTTTCAGCTATGTTTGTGGAAAGTATATTACAGTTTCACAAAGGAAAAACATTCCACACAAGGTAAAGGTAGCTTACTATCACTATTTTGGGTTTACAACTGGTGACCAAGAAAAATATTGGGCTCCACACATGTTGTACAATTTGTACATCTGGCTTGAAAAAGTGGCTGAATAAAAAGAGAGCAAGTACGCCAGTTGCAGTTGCTATGATATGGCATGAGCCCAAAGATAATCTGACTGTTATTTTTGTATGACTAATGTTTCTGGATATTCAGGCAAAACTAAACAATACATTAAATATCCGGATACTGCATCTGCAATTAAACCAGTACCTAAAGGGGATGGTCTTCAAGTGTCACATCCACCAGCGAATTGGGGAAACAGAAGAGTTATCCTGCAAAGAAGAAATGAATCATCTTCATCTAGCTATTCTATTCCTGTGGCACCTCAACATAAACTGCCTCATTTAATCACACAAGAACAGCTAAATGGCCTGATTCATGACTTGGCTCTCGTTTACAGCAATGGAATTTGTTAGTTTTAGGAATTAGAGCTACAATTTAACGAAGTCGCCATGAAAGTCTTGCTTCTCACTACAATATGCAACATGTTTTGTGTTTTTGTACAAAAGTTAGTGCACTAATGGAAAAATAAGGTACTGAACACCATCCTAGAGAATAGAGACTATTTATCGATTTATCTAAAGTTAGTCTCAAAGCCGTGCTTTTGCCCAATGGGAACACTAAGCCATCAATTCTTGTTGCTCATGCTGTGAACATGAAAGAAACTTATCAAAGCATGGAGATTATATATTCTTGAATGTAATTTTCATGATATAAAAGAATATTCTGAATAAATCTATCATAACTTTAACAACAGAGGTGATTTTCAACATGATTTTTAGAATCAGCATCATCAAGTTACTCAGAAACAGTTGCACTGTTTCTATTAGCAGAGAAAAAAATTTTTTTTTGTTGCCCAGCTTATACATAAAACAATATATATTCAATTATGCCATTTGGAGAAAATCAGCTTTAAGAAAGCTACAACTCAAAAGTGTAAAACAACATAATTTTAATTAGTTGATTATATTCATGACATTAATCAATTTAAACATAAATTTGATTACTGGATAGTTGAAATAATTGAAAACTATAATAATCAGAAACACTAGTTGGTTATTTTTGGAACATAAATTAATTTACTCATAATTTCAATTAATCTATTATTTTACATAACATTAATTGATGTAATTGGTTCTGGTAGGTAATCATTTATGTTGATTCAGTTAATTATCCAGCCCCAGTTATATTTTACAAAGTTTGTAAAAATATTGCTTAGAAAAGATGGTTAAAGTGGTACTTTTTTCAAACCACTTTAAACATTACTGGGAAATAAGGTAGACTTTCTGAATAATTTACATTAGTTACAATCATTAAGACAGTTTAATTAAGCAGGTGTTAAAACAGAAACAGATTGTATTTGAGTAGCAGACCTACAGAAAATTATCTAAATTTCAACAAAAATGGAGCCAAAACTTTAAGTTTGCAAAGTATTCCATACTTGTTTCTGTGAGGATGGAAAATCCATCATTTTTTTTTCACCCTTTTGTAATATAATACAAAATGCAATTAGAAACATTTATAATTGAATTTCTCAATTAATGAAACCAATTTTTATTAAATTTTCCATTACAATATCTTCTAAAAATGCAATATACTCAAATACAAAGGTGCTCATAGATATGAGCATTGCAAATAATTTCACTGAGGAAAACATGCCATATGTATTTAGCTTTAAAAATTCACAGTTTTTAAGAAGGAGGTTTGAAATTTTTGCAATAAGTGAAAACTATTGTTACTACTAGCACTAGCCAATATATTGGGCAAGATACTAGTTGTACAATCATATGCTATAGTAATAATAGAAATTTGGCAAACTTGTGTCTAACCAAAGTAGCTAACCAAATATTTGGGCCAATACTAGCACTAGTACATATATTTCAATTTGTAATGCTTTTGAAAATATATAAATAAAGTTATTGAATTATGTTCAGGTGCCAGAAGACTTGAAGTTTGCTACTTGTACTTCTCTTTTCAAGGGAAGTGATAAAAATTATTCAGTAATTATACACCTATTAGTCTTACTTCAGTGGAGGGAAAAATGTTTTAAAAGTCTGATAAAAGATGATTTGCAAAGTCATTTAACAAATTTTAAAATTTTGTTTGATAGTTAGTGTGGTTTTACTAGGAGAAATTCTTGCCTTACTAAACCTTTTGACATACTTTGAAAAGATTACTGTTTATGTAACTAAGGGTAAGGGTGTGGATTTGGTTTATCTGGATTATAAGAAAGCATTTGACAAGGTCACATCTTAAAGGCTTGTTAAAAATTATCTCTGTAGGTGTGATGATAAGATGGCTCATTGGATAGAAAAGTGGCTGAATGGAAGAAAGCAGAGGGTTGTTATAAACAGAGTTCAGTAAATACTAGATTATGTTACAAGTGGGAACCTCAGGGCTCAGTGTAAAGACCTTTTGCACTTTTTAATTTACATAATGACAAAGATGAAGGAGTGGGCAATGAATTACTTAAACTAACTGATAATATTAAGATCTTGGGTGTTACTGGCTGTGAGAAGGATGCTACTGCTTTACATAAGGATTTAAATCATTTAGTGAGTTGGATGAGTAAATAGCAGTTGGCTTTTAATTATAATAAATGCAAGATAATGCCTTTGGATATCATAAGTATAATCAAGAAGAAAAAAGATCTTGGTGTTCTGGTTGAATGGTGTCTTAAGCCATCCAAGCAGTGTGCTGTTACAAGTGGTAAGACAAATAGGGTTTTAGGTTATATTTACAGAAATATTGAAAACAAGTCTGAAGAGGTTATACTTTCATTGTACAGGTCCCTTCTTAGGCCTGATTTGGAGTATTGTGTTCAGTCTTGAGCTCCTTACCTTAGGAAGGACATTTAAGTATTGGAAAGGGGTCAAGGAAGGGTAATAGGATAATACATAGAATGGAAAAGTTGTCATGCGAGGACAGGTTAAGATTTCTGAAAATGTTTTCTCTTGGAAAAAAGAAAAGCTAGAGGTGATCTGACTGAATTGTTTAAGGTTATAAAGATAACTAATAGTGTTGCTGCATCATCTCTTTACACTAATGGTGAGTATGGTATTGGTTGGACTAGAGAATGCAAATATAAATGTTGGCAGGGTTGAAGCCATCTATGGAATGGGTTGCCTTCAATTTCAAATTTGGTGAATGAAGTAAATTTAAAGGCATTTAAGGGAAGGCTTGATAAATATTTAAATGGTAAGGGATATCTAAGCTTTTTTTAATAGCTTAGTGGAAAGGACAGCCTAGATAGATCAGTACTAGGCATCTTGTTTACCTTAAATTTTATGTTATTATTGTGACTCCTGGTCAAGTAACACACTAAGAGTGAACACAGTTATAATAATTATATTGAAGTAGTCATACTTGCTTTTGTTATTACTACTGCTAGTGCTACTACTAGTACTACTATTAAATCAAAGACTATTTCTATTTATGACATAATATTTTTGGAAGTATCAATAATAAATATCAAATAAAAGTTGAAATCATGCATTACTAGTACTAGTAGTAATATTACAGCAAGCAAAGTAGTTATAAGACTTATAACTCATAGTTATACAATATAAACATGAATTTAAGTCTAACTTAGTTTGAAAATAACTAAAACTAAAAGGTTTAATGCTGAAATACTTAAAATTAAATTACGCTGATACTGATACATACCTATATAACTCCATATATCCTCTTAAATAATTTTCTAAGCTTAATGCTGCGACATTTTCCTTACATTTTTCAAAAGCTTCACAAACAAGCTTTGATCAAAATAGTTTTTCTTTTCTACAGGATCATCAGTGCCTTTACCTTTAGAAGACAACATTTCTCTTCCCGAACTATTAATGACTGTTAACAAAGTACACTGATTTGTTTTTTTATTATTTACAAATACTGAAACAGGGTTTTTATCACAACGTGGATTTGGCCTCATACTCATAGCTGACTGCTTTAAAATAAGGCTATAAATTTGAAATTCGGTATTTACCACAGTTTGTAATAATTATTGGAAATTTTATTTCTCTTCTACACATACTTGGTTTAATTTTTCCAAATTCAGACCTAATCTGTAATTAGCACATGTCTTTTAATCTTGCAAAGATAAGTTATGCATATTGATTAACAAAATATTAAATATTATTGTTGCCCTACAGGGGTAGCTGTAGATGAAGTTAAAGAAGAACAAATATCAGAGCATAGATAGCTGTAACAAGATTTTTAAATCCTTCTAGACAATGTATGTTAGCTGGGTAATAAGACAAACAGGATTTTTGATTGTATGAATAGAAGTCTTGACCACAAGCTTTGATTTAGTAGTTTTCTAGATGGAGCTGCTAATATGATAATATGCTAGGTTTAGAAAGTTTATAGTCCTAGAATGTTCGTGAATATTAATTACAGAGAAACTTTGTGAACTCTCTAGAAACAAAGCTACATTATAAATATGAGAATCAGTTAAGTATTTAATGCGAAGTTAGTGAAGTATTCAGACCACTGTTAATTATTACATGTATTCAGTTACTCTATCAATTAGCCATGAAATTGTACAAGTAGCTATTTGAACGTAGTTCTAATACCATTAGAAAGGAATTTCTGTTGAAAAGTTATATGTGAACTAAGGCCTACAAGTTGAATCAGAGTGAACATAGCCCGTAGAAACAATATGAAAGAAAAACTAATTATTATTATGTGGCATGGGCTTTGCATTAATTTTCCCATGTGATTTAACCGAAACCACTAAATGATAGAAGTGATAGAACATGTTAAAAACTGTATTATTTGATTATGTCTTGTGTTTTAAATCATGTTCGAATTGTTTTCTTTTATTACAATTAATTTTTAAAATTTTTGTCAAAGGAATTTAGAATGATGTGTTACGACAGCGGAAGTCACGTGACCCTAGTAACACGCCATGAACTTCTAGAAAAATCATGTCCCTTCGTGAAGCCTCGAGTGTTTACTAGATGTACGGTATTCTTGCATATAAGACCGCCAAGAAGTGACGGCAACAAGGTAATTGAACTGCAGACAGAGATAGAGACTGACAATTGGGACTAGCAAGTGAGCCGTTCGTTGTGAATTATTAGCGTTTGTTATAGCGTGACTGTGGAAATGAAGTGTATTGCAAAGTTGTATTCAGAAAGAATAAACTAGTTTTATTTAAGAAAGGACTTGTGTCGCTAAAGTTTCTTGGAAAGAATTTTTAAGGAAAAATTAACTAACGATAGAGACATAACAGGTGTATAACTTTTCACTGATTTTTAACTCATGGTTAAAATAGTTTTATTTTATTTTATCCAGTGTTGTAATATATTATTTTCCAGTTTAGTTAATAAGTTATTTCATATGTTATTGTTACGACATCGAGGTCACGTGACTAGTATCACGCCACGTCATTCTCGAACATTCACGTCTTTTTCTTAAAT